GGGCTCCTCCTCTCCCTCTCTCTTGTCTCCCTGCGTACCCCAGCGGGGGGTTGTCCGTGCGGTCCAGGCTGGGCTGGTAGTGCAGAACGGGGCGCAGGTTGGCGGCGTACCCTGTCCCAGAGTGACGCCCCGGTCTGGGGACAAACCGCCCGGTACCTAGAACAGAGCAGGGGGAGAACGGGAGAAAGAGAGAGGAGATGAGCTCCTCGATCCGTGAAAACGGCGTCGGCCTGCACTCCTCCCCCCTCGCGCAGTACCCCCACTCACCATAGGAGGCGCTGTAGGAGGTGCTGTAGAAGCTCAGGGGGTTCACATCCGCGCCCACGCTGGCCAGCACACGGGGGCAGGGCCGACCTACTGCAACTCGCGCCATCATCTGAGAGAGAGGAGGCACAGGAGAGCAGAGCGGGAGAGGAGAGGAGGAACGGGAGAGCAGGGGGACAGGAGAGGAGAGTGGGGACAGGAGATCAGGGACGGTAGAGGAGGGGGACAGGAGAGGAGAGGATGGATGGGAGAGGAGAGCAGTGAGGTTCCCCGGGTTACAGCACCAAGGACACCGTAGGAGTATAGACAGCCTGGCTTAGAGGGCAGGATAGACAACGGATACACCCCCAGTGTGCCTCACTGACACGCTGGAGGAACTGAGTCTCTTTAGTCTGAAGGGAGTGTCCTTGCTGGAGGAACTGAGTCTCTTTAGTCTGAAGGGAGTGTCCTTCACTGAAAGGCCGGAGGAACTGAGTCTCTTTAGTCTGAAGGGAGTGTCCCACACTGACAGGCTGAAGGAACTGAGTCTCTTTAGTCTGAAGGGAGTGTCCCACACTGACAGGCTGGAGGAACTGAGTCTCTTTAGTCTTGAATAGAGTGGACTGCAATGGGACCTGATGCATGTACACCAGTGGGCATCTTTATGGTCAGCAGTCACACAAACCAAAGGTCTGGAAACTACAGGGACAGTAGGAGGCATTGCTGTACACTCAGGGGAGTGGGAGTGTGGAACTGGCCTCCCTGACACCTTATTGAACCCAGTACCCTGGGTCCTTTGGAGAAACATCTGTTCAGTTCCGTTTATATGTGCAGTGAAATGCTTATTTGCATGTACGCTCCAATACAAAGACATTAAGGAAACACTAAAACAAACACAGAACAGCAGCAGCAACCACAACAAAGTCCAATAACATACAACTTAAACACAACTCGGTCTGGATCCACTGTCCACTCGTGTGGATGAGATCAAAGAGCCACGAACACGCCGGTCTGAGCCCTGTCTGATGGTCCTGCTGGCTCCCTCTTGCTGGATATCGCCTCCGAAATCCTTACCTGTGTCCAACAGGATCTCTGCGGATGGAGCTGGGATCTGTCTCCCGGGCTGCGACCCAAACACGGCGTCTCTCGGCAACAGTATCCAGGGTGACTGAAGGGGAGAAGAGAGAAACGTCACAGACGCCTGGAAATGACGTAAGTGAGCTGCCTTGAGAATGTGAATTTATTCTCGCACACTCGCTGGTTTTCAAAGCGTAATGAGCAGAAACCAGGTGGCGTCTAAACTACAGTGCAGATGCGGTCAGCAAGATGTTATCTGAGACGTTTTAAGATGGCATTTGAACCAGCAGTGAGGGAGATGGGCTCTATATAAATGCAAGGTATTATTATTAAATTAAAGCTTTGAAGTAAAGGTGACCACATGTCGTATCACCTAGAAATATCAGATTGTTTCCTATTTCCACGGAGGCGTCAGTGCAGCCTGTGGGCACTTCTACACGGCACGACCGCTCGCTCCGGTCGCGGCTTGCGCTGATAGTCCCGGCTTTATGGTAGCCGGGACGTCACGGGATCTGACGTCACTGCCAGAGGCTCTCGGGAGGAGGAAGCCGTTTCCATGGTGAGGGAACATGGCGTCTGTCGGTGAGTGAGGAACTGAGCGTCTGTGTGGAGCGTGAAATACCCCTGTCGAGCTGTCGGTACCGGTAAACCCTGGCTGGACCGGGTGAGAGGGTTGAACCGGCTGGGCGGTCCGGATTTCCGTTTAGGCTCTGTTTCTGCACTTCAATTTGCCATGGAGCTGAAGTGCCTGAACGAACAGTCCGGCGAACAGCGTGGTGAAGCGCAGTAAAGTGTGGTAAAGTACAGTAAGGCACAGCGAGGGGTGTTACAGCGCAGTAAAGTGTGGTAAAGTACAGTAA